ACTAAGCGCACACTCTTCTCTTTCGATGCAAATATTATTCGTCATTTCGCCAATGAATAGTAGGAAGACAATGCAACAGCGATGAAAATCAATTAAAGCCGGTGCTGCATCTATGTAAGTACACAGGCATCGAAATCGTTGATAAGGTCTAGAATGAAACTTTCGGTGTTCCAAATAACGCGCGCGCATGCTCTCACTAGCCGCGAGAAATCTGTCTGCTAATTAATTCGTACGGCTTCCTGGCAGGTTTATTTCTGCGTAACCGAATGAAAACCGCACGGCTTACTTTCACGGCCACGAAAAAAAGACGAATCGTTTTCTGTACTGGCGCATCACACCGGCAATAATTTCAGGCCGCATAACGGCCTCGTTGAATTCGCGAGAAGCTTTTCTGCTGCGAAAGCTTTTCAAAACAAAAAAAAGTCGCGGGGGGGAGGGAGAAGAAAATGAGAGGAAAAAACAACGGAGGACCGTTCTGTTCCCGCGAATACGGTCGCGCGGGAAAAATTGATCTGCTCCACGCGAAATTTGGATACCGCGGCTGTCACTGTTTCTAATAATAACGGAAACAAAGCGAGACGCTTGACGCTCGTCCAGAAATCTATATCGCGGCGATCCTCGTGAACGTTTTATTCGATGCGACAGAAATTCCCCTTGTCTCGTCGCTTTGCTAACTCGCGCCGTTTCGTTCGGGACCGCCGGGGATGAAAGTAAGCACGAACTAGTTTCGAGGGACTATACGTTTAGGAGCAGAGACTGCTGTAACCTTAATATAAAAAAGTTATAGTACAACAATTATTTTCTCGATTTAAACTTTTTGGTTACTAATAATCAATATAAATTATTAAAAAATTTTTGAATGTCGGTAACCAATGTCGAACAGTTTTTTGGTTACTGATAACCAATATTTCATCACGAAAAAATGATTTGGTTAAAAATTTCATTTTTAGATTATTAATAACCGTTTTGTTTTCTCGTTTTGTTACACAGAATTTTCCAAACCGACACACGGTAAACAGTGCCATAAGATTTATATCGATTACTGGTAAATAGTAATTAAAAAGAATTGCACTATTCTGAATGATCAATAGAAACTATGCTATACGGTATCCTATAAAAATATCGCTTCCAGAAAATGCAAATATAACCAGCTTTTCTTGTTTCAGTACACAAAACTCATATCCAAAGTTCTGACAACATTTTTAATACATCTTGTATAATATTACCGCAATATTAGTTTAAATATATTTCATCTGTATCACTCAAATCTTCACGCACGCTTACAAAATTGATTCTGCTAATTCACTAATATTCACAGTGAAGGCCTATTAGCCATAAGTGTACTCGAAACTGCGCTAACAACACTGCAATCCCACCAAAAACTCCGTTTCACCCTGTCAGTCGAACGTCAATTTTGAAACTTGTGTTTCTGGTTTGCAAAAGCAACTTTTCCCCCGCGACACTTGTGGCGTTTCGAAATTAGGCCGATTTAAGTATCGGTAATTAAATGGCCCCGAAAGAAGCGTCACAATCAAGGCGATCTGTCCTGTACGCGTTGGTAGCGCGCGCTAATGGGCCATACGCGCAATTAGGGGCGCGTGTTTCTTCAAAAGCACACCTAACGAGCCCACAAAGCCGGTATTTCACTCAGACGGTATCGGATTCGCGCTATCGTCCATAGAGGAATTGGAAAAGAAGCGGCGGTCGGTTTCCGGGAAACGCGTTTAATACACTTTGAACCAGTTACCATCAATTAACGTGATTTCCAGTGAGAAGTAAACGACCCGCTGTGTTAACTGACTTGGTTTTTCTTAAAATATCGCTAGTGCATGAAATGTATATTTTTTAACTTGAAATGGAAAGTCTTGAATTTGTTTTTTTTTTTCGTTGGTTTCTGTATAACTTCAGTAGGAATATTTAGTATTAATATATTACGTTCTATTATTAAGGAATTAGACCACCCCTTAAATTGATCGTTTATACTTTTGAAAATATAATCCAACTAGTTTTAATGAAAAACTTCAATAGTTTTATGCC